GAAATTCTCAAAAGTGAATAGAGGCTCTTCTGCAGCCACGCTCCTGGTGGGCCCTGGTGCTGGCAGCAGGTGCGCCCTGGACGTGCCAGAGGAGAAGCGCGAGTCCGTGCACCTGCCTGGCCACGGAGAGGCTCTGCCAGCACCTGCGTCGTCAGTGCCGAGGACCGCCATCGCGGGGAGTGTGGCCGAGGTGGACGGGGGACAGGCAAGCTCAACGGCCAGTTTAAAACCCACACCATCTGTGAGGCCACTCGCAGGCTGGGGGAGTCAGATGACTCCATCCTCTGACCGGCCAAGGCCAATGGCGTCGTTTCAAAGAACTTCTGACTCTAAAGGATCACGGTTGTGGAATATTTGTCATTAATAAATAGCAACCCCCCCCCCAAAAAAAAGTGAATAGAGGACAGGAGGCGGCACGTGTCCCTGCAGAACCAGCCAGCGGTTCATTTTCAAGTCCTTTTCACATACATCACTCCCAAAGGGCCACAGCTCGCAAGGGAAGATAGTCTGAACTTCACATCAGATCAATGGGATTGTGCCAGAACCAGAAGAGCCTCAGACATGAAGCAAAGCAAACTTTGCAATATTCAAGAGAAAGGGAAATTTCCTCTAAGCCTCAGGGAGCCTTTCCCAGAAGGTCTCAGGGTTGCTGAGAAAGGAAAGATGCTGTGGGTCGTTATACCAGAGAACTCAATTCTGCCGTCCTTAAAGGTCGTCAGCCACATTTAGGTTGTTTTCCCAACAGATGCAAGGGAAAATGTCATTCAGGGATGGGGATGAGGAAAAGCTGGGAAGAGGGGGTCCCGGGAAAGCAGCACCCCTCTTACTGGTCTGGACGACGGACTATGCAAAGTCCTGCCTGCCTTGCAGTAGCATCTGTATCCAGCGCCGCGTGATACATACATCCTCCACCCAACCTTTTTTCAGGTTCGCGTTAGGGTTCTACTGCTAAGGCTGAGTTTTCTGTTTTTTCCCTTTTAGACTCAAAGTCCTTCTAGTCTATGATAGCTAAAACTACCAGAGGAAAGGCAAATGCTAAGCCAAAGATGAAGCACAGAAAAAGACTAAACCAGGAGGTTAGGGTGAAAGACTTTTCTATGTTAAGTAGCAAGTTTGCCAAATGCGTTGCTTTCACTCCTCTGACAAGTTGACCTGGTTCCCTTTGCTGGGCATGCAGCAACAATATACAACATTGTTTCTTCTTTATTTTTATTTATTTCTTTTTTTAAAAAAACAATTATTGATTTTTGAGAGACAGAGACAGAGCATGAGCGGGGGAGGGGCAGAGAAAGAGAGGGAAACACAGAATCCAAAGCAGGCTCCAAGCTCTGAGCTGTCAGCACAGAACCCGATGCGGGGCTCGAACTCACGGACCATGAGATCATGACCTGAGCTGAAGTCAGACGCTTAACCTGCTTAGCTTAACCCGCTTAACCGACTGAGCCACCCAGGCACCCCTATGACATTGTTTCTAAATCATACAACTTTAGACTGGTTAGAATAATTACTTAAACGAGGCTAACTAAAGATATTAAACAAAACTCAAATTTTTATATACTTTCAGAGACTATCAAAATTTTGAACCACATATTAATGACATCATAGTCTTAAACGCTTAAGCTTCAAAAGGGAGAGTAAGTGCTTTCTCTCTTCAAAGTTCAAGTGCTAGAACATGCAAATTTATTTCGTTTGAACATAATTCTTTAAGGTTCTTTCCAAACATGGGGCGCCTGGTGGGGGGGGCTCAATTGGTTAAGTGTTCCAACTTCAGCTCAGGTCATGATCTTGCAGTTCGTGAGTTCAAGCCCCACATCCAGCTCTGTGCTGACAGCTCAGAGCCTGGAACCTGCTTCAGATTCTGTGTCTCTCTCTCTACCTGCCCCTCCTTCGCATGCTCATTTGTGCGCTCTCTCTCTCTCTCTCTCAAAAATAAACATCAAAAAAAATTTAAAGTTCCTTCTAAACAAAAGAGATACATTATAGGGGCATCAGGGTGGCTCAGTTGGTTAAGCAGGGGACTCTTGATTTCAACTCAGGTCATGATCTCACAGTTCGTGAGGTCAAGCCCCACGCAAGCCTCTGTGCTGCTGTCAGTATGAAGCCTGCTTGGGATTTTCTCTCTCCTTTCTCTGCCCCTCCCCTACTCGTTTTCTCTCTCTCTCTCAAAATAAATAAATAAACTTAAAATATATACATCATAAAAGCCAGATATCATTGGTGTTAAAAATTATTAAATAGTTCATTTCTAAGTAGTAATGAGGATTGGTTAAATTACTTTGAAGTAGTTTTGAGGTTGAGCACTTTTTTTTTTAATGTTTTTTATTTTTGAGAGAGAGAGAGAGAGAGAGCGCGCACAAATGGGGAAGGGGCAGAGAGAGAAGGGAGCAGGGGATCTGAAGCGGGATCCACACTGACAGCAATGAGCCTGACGCATGACTCAGACTCACAAACCGTGAGATCATGACCTGAGCCGAAGTGGGAAGCTCAACCCACTGAGCCACCCAGGCGCCCCGAGACTGATCATTTTAAAAGATTCCCAAGAACATACCACCACTTCAACAGCCAAATAAACTTAAAACAGTTACTGACAAAAACATATACTATTTCATGTTTACTTATAAACTGTCAAAAATATCTGCCCTATCTACTGAACAGGATGGCTGAAAATGAAAATCAAAACGCGACAGTATATAAAAGTACTTGATAAACATTTAAATTATAACATACTATGAATTGATAAGTAGTACAGTTTCCAAAAAGAATAGTGAAACACAAGCAATGTGCTAACTTGGTATGGGGACGAGACAAAGCATCGTCAACCAGGACCCTCATCTTATTCACCCACTAAGTGTTAGCAACTTCATCGTAATACAAATCACTAAGGCCCACTGAACCCCATTTCCTTATTTGGAAAGTAGCAGAATTAGAGCAGAGAAGATCTGGAGTCCCTTTCAGCTTGGCCACTTTGATCAGCAATATTTAACAAAGAAATTACTGCTATTATAAATAAGTACCATTTCCATTACTAAATATTGTCATTATTTGCTACCATATGACAAGCCAATACCCCATGTTTTCCAATGCAGCAGACCCCGCAGAGAATACCACTACCTTTGCAGACCTGCGTGCAGACCTGGAGCAGTTCAAAGCACCATGACATACTCCCGGACAGGTCGAAGATTAAATGAGACAAAGGCACATTCTATCCCTCATTTGTCAGACTAGCGAGCTGAAGCCGAGATTAAGTCATCTGCCAACGGCTCACAGCTGTAAGAGTAGCCGGACTGGGAAAGCAGGCACAGGGCTCTTCCCAGTTACGGATAACTGAGCATCTGAAATGAAACATAACTGAGCCAATCGTGTAATGTCCGACCTGCTGGGGAAGAAAGGCAGGTAGTCACTCATTCAACACATCTGCTAAACCACTAGGCAGCGTTCCCTGGGGCTGCCAGGGACACAGATATGGACAAACGAAAAATCCCTGGCCTCAGGGAGCTTACAGCATGGTTGGGGAAGATGAACAAAGTGAGTATATTAATAGTGGTAAGTGGTATGGAGAAAGCTGAAGCACTGAAAGGAATAGAGAGCATGTGTCTGGTGATTTGCAATTTTCTTTTAAGCCTGCTGGATGCCACTTAGAGAACCGCAACAAGAATGCATCTAAAGTAATGGTCCTTAGCATTTCCCCAAACAGGGAATACTCTGGATACAGGAAGACTCTGATCTGCTGATTCCAGTTTGATACGGACTGCTCATACCTCTCAGCTGCCAGCTAGGAGGTGTCCATCCAACTGGCAATCCAAAGTCCATACTAACAAAGACTCCCCCCATCCCACCTTTAAATCCACAAGGAGTGCGCGTAGATGTACAAAACACAGCCAGCAGTTACCAGGGCACTTGGACTGCTTCTGAGTTAGCACAGGTTATCTCCTAATGCAAAGGTTAAAATGGAGTTTGAGTGCTGAGTTCTGTTGGGACAAAGCAGTAAGAATACAGTACCCTTCATTTTGCTTTTTCTGACCTGTCAATTTTAGTTACACTCTCTTACTATTAGTCTATACTTAACCTGCTTACTGGACAGTTTCTCCAGCTTTTAGCATTTCCCCCCTCCCTTTTTTTTTTAAAAGAGCAATCCAGTTTGCGAGAAAGTTGCTATAGGAAAAGGCAGCTCCCTGCAAGATCTGATACACTTGGTTAAGCACTATCTTACCAACCTTTGATTAATTAACCGGGTTAGTTGAGCTAGCTTTGTTTCACTGAAGTTTTAGAATGCCCTCTGAGTCTTTCAAAATCTCATGATCCTCCGTTGTAACCGCATCCTGAGAATTACAGTAAGTGCTCTAAAATTAGCCGCAGCTTATTTTAACGTGTGTCCGTAACGCACAGCCCTCCTTTTACGCGGAGCGCCCACGGGGAGTGAATAAAGACACGTCTGACAAGAGCTTCGGCCTCGGGGGTCGGGACGCGATGCCACGGGGCGTCCCCTCTGCCCACAGCCCGCGAGGAAGTGTTTGTTTGGCCTCTCCGCGGGAGGGGCGCGCCCGGCTCGCTTCGCCGCGCCGGCCCGGCCCACGGCGCGATCCGGCGGCGAGCGGCCGGCAAACTTCAGCAGGGCTCCGCGGGCCGGGCCCCGGCGAGGCCCCGCCCTGCTCGCGGGTGCGGGTCCCGGGCCGGCCCAGGACGGCGTCCGCGGGCCTCCGCGGCTCGGAGGCCCGGGCGGGCGGCGGGCGGCGGAGCAGGGAGGGCGCGAGGGCTGCGGCCCTGCTCCGGGGGGAGGGCGGGGGTCGCCAGGGGGCACGGGCCCGGCCCGAGGGCGGCCGAAGCTGAGGGGCCGTCCCGCGGGGCCCGGCGGGGTGTCCGCCGGCAGGGACAGCGCGCCGGGCGGTGACCAGGGGTGAGGGGAGGACTTCGGCGGCTGGGGGTGGGGTGGGGTGGGGTGGGGACCAGGGGCTCCGGGGACACGCCCGGCCTCGCCCGGCCCGCCGCGGCCCGGTCCTCACCTGATGTACGGGCTGGCCGCCGCCAGGATGTTCTTCTGTACGGGGATCTCCTCCCCGTCGAGGACCAGGTGCGCGTCGCAGAAGCGGGACTCCTCGCGGAAAGAGCTGAGCGCTCGCAGCAGACGCGCGGCATGCTGCGGGTCGGACACGGCGCTGCCCTCTGCCATCGCGGCGCCCGCTCGTCAGCCGTCCGGTCCGGCGGCCCTCTAGCCGCCCCGCGGGACCCCTCGAGCTGCCCGCGTCTGGCGCGCGCCCTGTCTGCACGGTCCGCGCGCGCGCCCGTCCTGCCCGGCTCTTCAGCGCTCGGAGAAGCGGGAGCCCCCAGAACGCGCCTGCGCCATCCGCGGCGCAAGAGGCTGGCGCCTTTAAGGAGCGGCGGCATTGCGTCATTTCTCCGCGACGCCCCCGCGCCCTCGGTCCCTCCCTCTCGTCAGTAGTCGCCGGAGGCGGCCAATCAGAATCCTCGTTCCCCCGCGGGACCAGCTGGTAGCGGTCTCCACGCACCCAGGGACTGTGCGCTGCCCGGAGCTGTAGCTGCTGCGGCGGAGGGTGTGCAGGCAGGCCCGGGGCTCTGCGGTTAAGTCCGGGGCCTCTAGCGCCGCGAGTCTGAATCCGAGCCTCGGCTTTTCCGCTCAGTAGCTGTGTGGCCATGGGTAAGGCTCCCATCCTTACTTTCTCCATCTGCAAAATGAAGGTGATGGCTTCTCAGGGGTGTTGTGGCCTCATGTGAGCTCACGCGTGATAGCAAGGGCGCAGTAGGCGTAGCTTTGATTATTTGTGAAAGAAAAGGGGCTTCCCAGGTTAAGAGCGCAGACCCGAGAAAACAGAACCTCAAAAAGAGCATTTGGTTGCAGGCTAGGGGAGGAGACGTAGCAGATGAAGCTGGAAGAGTAGCCGAGAAGCCTTATATTTTGCAGTGCCTTCTTGTCTGCTGTATGGAGGTTGGCTTGATCCCGTACGGGTTAGGAACTATGAAAGGGTTTGAAACAGGGTGTTTTATAAAGATCACCCAGCTGCTGCGTGGAGAATGAAGAGGATGGTGCTAAAGGCAGAAAGATGCTTAAATAATTGCAGTACTTGAAGGAAGGGTCTGGGGACCTAAATCGAAGGATCCTGATGTATGTCAGTGGGTAATAATGGTTTGAAAGGAACAGACAGGAATGTGAGGGAGAGGGAGTTCTGGACAATGTTCTGGGTTTGAGTAACTGCACCCATCAGACAGATAGGAGACACTGAAGGGTTGGAGGGCATAGAGATCCGATGTTCACACATGACTAGGTTCCCAACCCAGTGAAGATCAAAGTTGTGACAGGAAGCAACTTTGAGTCAGCTCAGTCCCCAGGGCAAGCCCCGTATGGTCTGAGGTGTCCCCCCGCCCCCCAAGGTTAAAGGTACATGGGAATGTGGAATGTAGCCACCATTTTGTACAAACACTAGGTTGTACAATAAGTACAAACATTAGGTCGTTTGTACAACCCTCAATAAGCTTGTAAAGAATTAAGCAATTTTTCTGAAGAATTAGCAATTAGAACCAAGCACCTGACCAGTGGTCAGTATTTCAGATGAGGCAGGATGGGGTTTCCACTGGATCAATTCAGTCTTTTCTTTCAACCAGCTCATGGGGTCCAATGCAGCCTTGGGTCTTTACCCTGAACTGGCTAAGGCTTTGGAGTCACTGGCAGGAATCAGAGTATATAATTACTCTGGCAGAGTCATTGGCAGAAGAGTAGTCGGGGAAAAGGAAGTTATTAGTGGAAGGTCTAGACTTTTACCGTTCCTTCTCGAAACTCAGCTCGGTATCTATGGATGAAATGATAAAATGTCTAGGACTGGCTTCAAGACCAAATGAAGGGATGGAGGGAAGCAGCTGAGGGTATAGATGAATCAAAAGTGTCTATGAGTTACTAATTGTTAAAGCAGGTTATGGGTACATGGAGTTTCGTTGTAGTAGTCTCCGTATTTTTGTGTACATTGTAAAATGTCACAATAAAAGTAAAAAAACAAGATAAGCAGCTCGGACTTCTCTATGATACCTGCCCCGTATTCCTGGGAGTGGTTGACACTCCTTTCCCCAGGTTGTTGCTGTCTGGCAGGTAACTTATTATAAATGGGTTTCTTTATGCATGTCACCTGCCAGCTTATATGTTTTAGTGGCTCGATTTCCAGGTGCTAAGCTCAGTGCCTGGCCCTCGTAGTGCTCAGTGAGTGTGGGACGCATGGAGGCATTAACAAAATTGTGAATTCTGAGCATTTAATAAATGTTTTCTGAATTTTATCTTTTCTGTTTTTAGTTTATTCATCTTTGTCTTCATTCTCAACTGGGTTGTTGTTGGGATCAGAAATGGTGTATGTGACAGAGAGGGTTCTCTGTACAATACAGATGTTTGATACATACTTATTAATTGCCTGGAATGCTGGTCTACTCTTTAGCTATTAGGAGGTTCCAAAATAAAGAGTTCAAATAACAGAATCACCCTCAGGTAACCAGTTTCCCCAGAACGGGGGTGTTGCCTTAGTTGAAATAACTGGAGGCGAATGGGGATTAGTCAGGTAGGCTCTTCCTGGTAGAGGTGAACATTCTCTGGCATTCTGACAGAAGGAAGGAAGGAAGGGGTGGTGGGTGGAGGGGGAAAACACCTGGGCAGAGGGTTGTAGACAGACCTGCATCAGTCAGGGAAAAGTTGCTGGCTTGAGAGGGTCAGATCAGCAAAAGACCTCATATCTGCCTTCAAAAACACCCCCACTGTTTGCAATATTTCCCACCAGCCTACCCGCCTGAATAACTCATCTTTCAAAACCAAGCGCAGACATGACCTTCGAGAAACCTCCAAGCGGCCTCTCCAGGCAGAGTCCCCGTGCCATGCCGAGTTCCTGCTTTCTGTGCTGTGCTTACCACACTGTAATTAACCGCTTTCTTTGTTGGTTTGCGAGCTCCTCCAAGGTAGGAGCTGCATTGTATTCACTCATGTTCCGAGGGACTTGCACAGTGCCCGGTACTTCATAGATGCCCCTCGAGCGCTTTTGCATAACTAGTCAGAGGTAGCAAGTGGGTAAATGAGCACAGGAGGCAGGATGGAACACAGTAGGGCCAGGCTGGCAGGGAGCTGAACACCGTGTCTAGGGCAGGAGGCTGCCTCTCAGCTCGAGCTAACTGTTCCATGGGATAAGGACCCCGTGGTGCCAAATCCAGGGATTTTTCAAGAGATCTGAAATCCACATGTCAAATGTCCCAGTTTTTCAATATCAGCCACCACTTCCGTTTGGCAGAAAAAATGGAGCCTGGGTCTGCAGCCAGATTCTGGCTTTCATTCATGTCCTGGAGTTATCAGAAAACCATCTTGTTTACCAAGAGGGGAATTAATAATAGAAAGAATGCTGGGTTTTCAGTGAAGTGTTGAGTTCCGCTCAGGTGCCTCAAGAAACCTCCTCCTTGGTGTAGGAAAGCAAGAGCGCCCGCACGTGGGAGGAAGGCTCGTGGGGCACAGCCCGCCCGCCATCAGCTGCAGGAGCCACTCCTGCTTTGTAGCCTTTCTTGTTCTTGCTCAAACTCTGCCGCCCTTGATACTGTTTACCGCCATCAGAATGGTGTATTTGGTGTGATTGTTTCCCTACATTCCACGGATTTCAGACCTCAGCTGTTGTGAAACGAGTAATTTTAAGATCCGGTATGGTCCCAGCCATGTCAGTCTCTGGGACTAACTGGTCCCTCCTGCTTAGTGGCTAAACAGCCCCCAGAGAAAGGATTTTCTCCTCCCCCTCCTCCTGTCGGGAGACCAAAAAGGGTGTTCACAAGATATCAGCGGAAGTCATTCATTCAACAAATATTTCTTAAGCACCTGCCATGTGATGCATTGCAGATACAACGATGGTGAAAACAGACGTGGCTATTGGGTGGTATCACTGTGGAGACTTTTTACTGTCTTTGTGCTTTTCTCAAAGCACATGTATCATCCCTACAATCAGAAAAAAAATTTTTTTCCAATTGCTAACAGGGAGGAAGAAAACCCTAGCTTTGTCTTGCTTTGAACAATGAGCCCTTGAAGAAGAGAAGAATCACCTTGGAGTGTGAGGTTTGGTTTTTTCATAAATGTTGGAAAGAGGAGGGAGAGTCTGGTAAAAGAAATAACGCAGAGAAAAAACTTACTAGTTAGGAGGCTCTTTAGAAAACATTGACTTTCACATTCAGTAATATTGAAGAGGACACCAACGCAAGATGAGCAAAGGACTCAGCCAAGGTCATACATGCGGCCTAGTCAAAGAACACAGGCCCCGAGCTCCTGCCTTCCAGCCCTGTGAGCTTTTCCATTACACCATGTTGACTCTTCGTAAACATTAATTTGGTTGAGACGGTCTCTTCTGATTCATTTGAAGGCGGTCTTCACATATTTTATGGGTAAGTCTGTCGTTTGTCCAAATCTATTTATAGCTCCTTTCTTTCGGAAAAATCTAAGCTCTTCCAAATTGCTGAGTCAGAGAACATCTCAGTATTTATAACTCCAGAGAGTTGTTTCCATGTATTTACAACAATTTTCAGAGAAGTGTCTCAGAAACCAGTGAACTCATTAAGTGGTGATGAAGACAGTAACTGTTTCTGACCAAATCCATGCTATACTCCCCAGTCCCTGACACACAGTAGGGACTCAATAAATATTTGCTGAATGAATAATGTTAATAACTAGGGAGAAGTGTGGTTTTTCTGTCCGTAAGGGATTACTTCCGAGATTTTCGTAGATTCTGCCACTGAACACCAAGCCAACAGCCTGCTGGCCTCTCCGAGTGAAAATCTCATAGGCATCCGCGACTATCCACTAAACTCTTGGTTTCACCACTTAAACCTGATCATTCCCCAGATCGGTGGCAGCATCATTCACTGAAGGACAGAAGGGCAGAAACGTGGGGACATCCTTGACCCCTGTCTCTCACACCCCTCATGCAGTTCTCCGGCAAAGCTTGCAGCTCTTCCTGCAGACAGCCTCAGCACCCCCACCAGCACGCCCTGGGAGAGCCACTAATCACCTCCCCCTCCACTCCTGCGATGGCCTCCGAGTGCTCTCCTTGCTTTTCTCTTGCCTCCTTATGAGTTCTTTCTCCCCATAACCTGATAAGATCAAGTTGCTTCCAAGTGCAAGCCCTTCCAGTGGCTTCCCTGTGGCTTACGAAAGCCCTATGCGAGCTCTTCCTTCTCTGTGAACTCTGTGACCTCACCTCCTACCACTTTCCTCCTCCTCGGTGTACACTAAACCAAACTGGCCTTTTTTTTTTTCCCCCCTAAGTTTATTTTATTTTGAGACAGAGTGAGAGTGAGTGAGCAGAGAGAGAGAGGAG